AGTGTGTGGTATTTTGCATATATCTCACTCAAATTATATCTGTTTGAGACACTCTGAATTTTGCCACACCCCTGAGATCGAGGGCTATCTACATGTCCATGCCCAAAAGCATCGAGACCCGACATCAATAACATCGAAAGCATTGAACTTCTGATGCCAACATGCACCCGGTATATAGTATTCTGTTCATATCTCACTCAAAATCACATCCGTTTTGAGATGATCTAAATTCTGACGGGCCCTTGAGAGTGACGGCTATCTGGGTGTCAATACCCGAAAGCATCGGGGCACTCGGAACTCGGAAACTCGGCACTCAGCACACGGCAGAAAGCTTGATTGCAACACTGATTGCACTGAGGTGGATGAGGGGAACACCTCCTGACAGTGATTGAATGCCCGAACACACCTGGGCACTCAGCCTTGGCACTCAGCACTCGGCACTCGGAACTCAGAACTGAGCCACTTGGCGCTCAACACTGGGACTGATCACCCTGTATCTTGGCTTGGTGCATATATCTCACTCAAATCATATCTATTTAAGGACTATCTAAATTCTGATGAATCCCGTGAGATCTAGGGGCTATCTGCATGTCAATGCCTGAAAGCATCGAGAGCCGACATCAAAAACATCGAAAAGCATCAAACTTCTGATGCCAAAATTCAACTGGTATATAGTATTTTGCTCATATCTCACTCAAATCACATCCGTTTGAGATGATCTAAATTCTGACAGGTCCCTGAGAGCGGGGCTATCTGGGTGTTAATACCCGAAAGCATCGGGGTACTTGGCACTCGGGACTCGGAGCTCGGAACTCGGAACTCGGAAACTCGGGAACTCGGAACTCGGAACTCGGAACTCGGAACTCGGAACTCGGAACTCGGAACTCGGAACTCGGAACTCGGAACTCGGCACTCAGCACTTGGCACTTGGTACTCAGCCCCTTGTAGTCAGTGTGTGGTAATTTGCATATATCCTCACTCAAATTATATCTGTTTCAGACAATCTAAATTTTGCCACACCCCTGAGATTGAGGGCTATCTACATGTTAATGCCCGAAAGCATCAAGACCTGACATCAAAAACATCGAAAGCATCAAACTTCCAATGCTGAAATTCACCCGGTATATAGTATTTTGCTCATATCTCACCCAAATCACATCCGTTTGAGGTGATCTAAATTCTGATGACCCCCTGAGAGCGAGGGCGATCTGGGTGTTAATACCCGGAAGCCTCAGGGCACTCGGCACTCGGAACTCGGAACTCGGAACTCGGAACTCGGAACTCGGCACTCGGAACTCGGAACTCGGAACTCGGCACTCGGCACTTGGCACTTGGCACTCGGCACTCAGCACTCGGCACTCGGCACTCGGTACTTGGTACTTGGTAGTCAGTACTCGGTGATTCGAGTCTCAAGACTCGAGACTTGTGATTCACAAGTCAAAATTTGAAACTAATGTGTAGTATCTTATGTATTTCTGTACTCATTTCACTGACTACCAAGTGCTGAATCTCGGGTCTTGGGTATCAGGTCTCGGTACTCGGTACTCGGTATTTCCAGATGACAAAAATGTATATCATCTTAAATTTGAATTTTCTTAACTCATAAAAATGTATGACTTTCCAGTTGGGTTTTGAATTTTGAGTTTGAGTCTCTTGAGTCCTGAGTCTGGGTGTTCAGGGCTCGGGTTTCAGGTTTCAGGTTTTGGGTTTTGGGTTTTGGGTTTTAGTACTTGGTACTTGATATTACCCGATGTCGGCCCACCCGTCTATGTCAAATTCTGCACTTCGGCCCACCCGTCTATCTAATATGACCCCACGTCGGCCCACCTGTCTATGTAATAAATAATTCACCTCACCCTCGGCCCCACCCGTCTATCTAATATTACCCCACATCGGCCCACCCGTCTATGTAATAAATAATTCACCCCACCCTTGGCTCACCCGTCTATCTAATATTTCCCTACATCGGCCCACCCGTCTATCTAATAAATATTTCACCGCTCCCTCGGCCCATCCGTCTACAAAATCATACTGATACGTCGGCCCACCCATCTATATAATACTATTTGCTATACATCTCTCCTCAGGTCTATAATATATGTCAATCCTACTCTACATATTACCCACATGGGCCCACCCATCTCCATAATAATATTTCTCCCGGCCCATCTGCTATCATCGATGATATATATAACATCAGCATAGATGGGCCCACCCGTCTCCATCGGAAATAATATTCCTCCCGGCCCACCCGTCAACATCGGGTATATACATAACATCGGCCCATAATCCGCTGGCCCGTATTACACGGGATATTATGTAGGTCGGGTGACCCGTATAATACGGGATTTGTCACTGAAGGGGCTCAACACACCCCCTCACCGAGACACCAGCTGCAAGCCCAGTACGTGTTTCTCGAAGAGGGGATGCACGAGGGCTTTAGTAAAGACATCTGCGGTGTTAATATGTGAAGGAAGCCACTTAAGCAAGAAGGTGCCTTTCTCAATGTGCTTGCGGATGAAGAGATAGTGAATGTCGATATGCTTGGATCGGATGTGATTACGCGCCTCAGTGGGGAGAGAGATAGCCCCCATGTTATCCATGTAGACCAGAATGGGGAAGGTAAGGGGTACGTGGAGCTGAGTGAGGAGGGACTTCAGCCAGAGTCCTTCTTGAATAACGTGCGTCACAGCCATGTATTCCGCCTCCGTGGATGAAAGTGCGTGAGTCGCCTGCTTCTTGGATACATACGCGATGATGCCTCCAGCATAGAACCAAACGTAGCCAGATATCGACAGCCGATCATCAGACGAGCTCGCCCAGTCGGCGTCGCAGTAGGTGTGAAGACCCTCATGCACCCGGGCACCCCCATAATGGAGACGGAGATTCTGAGTGCCAGAGAGGTAGCAAAGGAGGCGTTTGGCGGCAGCAAAGTGTGCCGGCAAGGGAGCAGAGTTGTGCTGAGCAAGGGAATTGACCGCATAAGGAATGTCGGGGCGGGTGCATACTGCGAGATATAAGAGTTCGCCAACAAGCTTCCTGAATCTGCTGGGGAGGTCTTCAACATTATCATAAGAGTCATGCGGTCTGCCGAATGGGTGATGAGAGTCGAGGGGAAGACGGACAGGATTGCAGTTCAGGAGACCGTATTCTTCGAGCAGGTAAGTGATATACTCCCCCTGATGCATTCACAACTGACGAGTGGCGAGGTCCCACTCGAACTGGATCCCCAGAAACTTCCTGACAGGGCCCAGGTCCTTGATACCAAAGCGCCCGTCAATTGTGCGCTTCACAAAAGCAAGGAAAACGGGGGAGTTCGAGGTACCAAGACCGTTGTCGACATGGAATCCAACTATGCAAATAGTATGCACCCCAGCGGTGACTTTGTCGAAGAGAAAGACTGCGTGATCAACAAGGCAGCATGAGAACCCTAGTTCTGTCATGACAGCACGAACCTCTTCATACCACTCCATCACGGACTGCTTAAGGCCGTAGATGGTACGAAGCATGCGCCACACCTGGGTATGCCAGTCCCCTTCCTCGAAACCCTTCGGTTGCCTCATGTACAACTCCTCCTTCAACATGCCCCACAAGAACGCCCTCTTCGCATTGAACACATCAAGGTCCCATCCGGATTTGCAGGCAAGTGCTGCGATGAACTGCAGAGAGGCGGTCTTGATGACGGGGGCGAAAGTGGCGCCATAATCGACTCCAGGAATTTGAGAGAATCCCTGGGCGACGAGATGCGCCTTGTGAATGGGTCCACCCTTACCATCCTCCTTGAACTCCAGCACCCACTGATTCCCAATCGCATGACGTCCCTCTGGCAACGCAGTTACCCAGTAGACTCTCATCTCAGACATGATCCCAAGTTCTTTCTTCATCGCCTTGAGCCATTCCTCGCGGTCCGGGCGCAGCATTGCTTCCTCGTAAGTGGCTGGAGGGACCTTCATGTCGTAGTCTGCACTCAACGGGTCACGTTTGCGATCACTGCGAATCGTGATATTCGCCTGCTCCTCGATGACAACAGATGCAAGTGCTTCAGGTATGTCAGAGTTCGGCTCTACCTCTTCCAGATCATCCGGGACGGTGGGGGTGGTATCCGTTGATGGAATGTCCAGCACCCCCTCGCTGGAGGGAGCTACCTCTGCACGATGTTGATGTGCATTGCGAAGAGCCTCTAGCCGGGCACGAGATGCAGCAAGTTCATCCTGGAATGCATGGCCAGCGTCGGTGAGCACACGCAAATGCGCTGATCGACGAATGGAAGGAGGCGAGGGAGGAGTGCAAGGAGCAGGAGTGCGAGGAGAAACAGCAGGAACAGCAGGAGGAGGAGATAGACTGGAAGCAGGCTGGCTCTCATCATCAGAGTCTGAATCGGACTGGGCATGGGAGACGCCAGGCATGTTCTCGTCGAAAATGACATCACGAGCGACAAAGAATGCACCGGTGTCGCAGTCATGAAGACGATATGCTTTTGTTCCCTCTGGGTAGCCAACAAAAATGGCATGACAGGAATGGGGACCTAACTTGGCCTGCAATTCCATGGGGATGCGGGCAAAACAGCGCACCCCAAAGACACGGAGATGGGAAAGGTCGGGCTGACGGCCATTAACAAGTTCGAAAGGAGTGGTGCCCGCGACTGGGAGGGCACTGGACTCAGACCTGTTCCACAGGTAACAGGCTGTTAGTACTGCCTCACCCCACATGTTTGCTGGAAGACAGGCAGTCTCTAACATTGCGAACATCCATCCTTCCAAGGTGCGGATGGCACGCTCCGCTTTGCCATTTTGCTGATGAGCATAAGGCGCCGACAGTTGCCTTACTATACCAGCATCCTGTAGAGCACGTGTGAAACCACTACTGATGAATTCGCCCCCATTGTCAGACCTAAAAATCTTCATGGTACGTCCAGCATGATTTTCCCAATGAGCACGTATTATCTTCCATGCCTCCAGGGCTTGATCCTTACTGGCAAGAAGCTGCACATTGAGAAGATTGGTGTAGTCGTCGAGGAATACAATGAAGTGGAGTTTGCCGTGGGGCGTGATGACTGGGAAAGGACCGCACAGATCGGAATGGATGAGGTCGAGCATTTGTGTCGCTTTGGGTTCAGTGGAAGGGGGGTATGGTCGACGAGGATGCTTGGCAATGATACAAGACTCACACTGCTGCAGAGGCATGGCATCTGTGACCATGACACCCTTGGCTATAAGGGGAAGCCGCTGGAGTAGGGACCCCAGGGGGTGTAGAAGAGGTGGCTGCAGGGTTTGGCCATGTTTGGAGCGGAGTTTGCTGGTAGCAGTTTAGAGTCGCGTAGTAGCTTAGCAATGGTCATCCTTCCTCGAGCGTTTGTCCAGTGTGAGAGCAGGCCTAGCCCACTCCAACTGGTGAACAGAGCGAGTTCTCCTCGACCAAGCTTCACTTTGGTCCTTCCCCCTTCGAGTCCAGAGTCCAGAGCCCAGAGCCCAGAGTCCAGATTACCCAGAGTTAGAGAGAGTCTCATTGAGTAACGAGCAACACGTATTAGAGTCAACAGACTCTAGTAGAGTTCAGTGTCACAGGGTAGAGAAGCCCATCGACACCGAGCACTTTCGTGTACGTTCACGCACTTCGGCGTACTCTCGCACACTTTCAACCGCAACCACCACTGTTTTTCGGCTCCCACACTTTTATAGCATCATGTCTGTCCCTGCTAGACCTTCCTGCCGCAAGTTTACTGGCATGCAGGACGCTTCTGAATGGATGGAAGATTATAGCTGTGCACTCGATGCCGTCGGCATTGCAATAGCCTCCCGCCATATATGCTTTAGCCGCTCTCTTGCAGGCACTGCATTACAGTGGTTTTTCGACTTACTGTACAATGAGAAGCTTTCTTGGCAAAAGCTCAAATCCGCATTTTTGACCAGATGGTCCCGCAACTTTCCGCATACCACGCCCGCAGTAATTGTTATGCCTCTTAACGCCTCTTACTCTGTCTATTCCGAGCGCTCCGCACAAGATCTCGCAAGGGAACAGAAGGCTGTGCTCATACGAGCTGGAACTATGGTTGCCCCCATCCATCTTTACAGAGACCGCAGCTTCCAGACTGTCTCCGTTGCAGCGAAGACTTACATAACATGCGGTACACAAACTGAGACAGTCAACACTGTCAGTCCACGACCAGTGCCTACTAACGGCATGAGCCCTGCTCAGTCATTTAACTGGGCAGATGATGTTGATTCAAACTGTTCTATTCACATTCCCCACTCAACCAACACTTCCATCCACGACAACCACGCGATTTTTCTGTTCTACAGAGCTCAAACACCAACCCATGGTCTAGTCTTCAGCGCCGTCACCGTCGGTCATCAGATCAATGCAGTCGGAGCTTCCCGCAGCAAGCACAGCCCCAGCCTGACTTCGAACTGCCCAAGGTAGCACTGGCAGTTGCAGCATCGGACAACGTGCTCGTCAAACCCTCTGTAAATTTCACTGCAGCATCAGCAACTGTTGACTTTGTTGCATCCCCGCCATGTCCAGCACTCGAAATACCTGGTGCGCAAATTCACATTGCGTCACTGGATTGGGAACAAGATCCACGTCTTCGAGATCTGAGCTGTGCTCTTCGAACACTAGGTTGGACACACATGTCAGACCAAGTTTCTGCATTTAGAGGGCGACGAGGACGCCGCCATTTTTTCAAGGGGGGCACATGGAGTAGGGGACCCCCGGGGGTAGGAGCCGAGTGGCAGCCGAGTAGCACCGTAGTTTAGCGAGCCATTCAGTGTCCTTCGGGCTTTGTCGTAGCGCAGTGCTCTTCACGACTTCTTGCCTTGCTCGCGACACGCAGGCACACAGTCGCGGATACACCGCTCCACCACTTGACAGCATCACCACCTGGATGACCCATGCATGTGTGCCAAAGATCCCATGTGACAGGGACACATGCAAATGCTGAGAGCTCCTGCGGCAAGGAAGGAGAGGCGTCCTCTGGGCGAACAAACTGTAAGTCGAGGAAGACTAACTTGCCAGTCATGGGAGTCTCCCCAATCAGCGTTCCCTGGGAAACTAGCTGACAACGTGCTGGACCAGGTAAGAAGTTGACCGCCCATCCTTTCTCCACCATGTAACCGACAGACAGGAGATTGATCATGGCCCCTGGAGCGTGAAGGCAGTTGGTCAGATGCAGGCGACGTGTCTTACTGTCAATCATCAGATCTGCGACACAGTCCCCACGGCCTGAAGTTGGAAGACATCCATGATTCACCGTCTTCACTGTTACGCGAGAGTTGTCAGTGAAGGTCCAGAAGAACTTGCGGCTCATAATCAAGGTAGATGTGGTGCCAGAGTTGAGTATTGTGGACATTGACTGACGAACAATACAGGCCATGTCATCAGGGTTTGGCAAAGAGTCTCCAAGGACTTCCTCAATGATGGCGCATGCTAAATCTGGCTGGGACTGAGGCTGATTGGATGGGAAAGATGTGCTAGTGTTGGTGGTCGCAGGAGGTGTGGGCACGTTCGACATGGCAGCAGCGGTGACCTCTTTGAAGGGCTTCTTGGTGCGTGCAGGTTGACCTCCTTTTCCTTCCATCCCTCCACCCGGTTGAAAGCAATGCTCACAGTCATGAGTTAGCGAACATGGCAAGCCTGCGCATGCTGGGTTGTCACAGGCGACTCCCTTGGGATTCAACTTATGCATGCGAATCCCGGTCTTCAGATTTTCCCTTGGAGTCAGATATGACATTGGCATATTCTGAGCCGGGCCCAGACAACTTGTGCTTGCCTCAGATTCTGTTGGCCTCTTCTGAGAGGGAGGCTGCAACAGTCGTGAACGTCATTGTGGGAGCAGTTGTCGAGGCAGTGGAGCTCGCTGCGAGAAGAGCGGAGGAAGAATTGCTGTATGATGCCATGGTCATGCGTTTGAAGATGATCCATTCCGGAGTCTGCGGCAGTCCCTGTAGAAGAAGAAAGACTGCTTCTCCATCGGTGAAGGTGATTGCCATTTCGGCAAATCGCCGTCTTGCATGCTCGAAGACACTAATATAGCGCGAAACGTCGTCGGTGTCTTTGAGTTTCTCAGCAAAGAGCTGTGCTTGCAATTCGAACTGAGAACTCATGTCTAGGCATCCAAAGTGCATGGCAAGGGTGTCCCATTGCTCGCGGGCAGTAGATGACTCATTCAAGAGTCCTTGGACGACAGCCGAGAGTTTCCGGCAAATGATACCTTTCGTTTGCGCGTCCTCTTTGATTCACTCTATTATGGCTTGCTTTTCAGCGGCAGTGGGATTCTCAGCTGTGGCGGGCGAGGGCATTACTGATGCATATTCTGCAAGTTATTGGGGTCGGTACCAGTGCTACAATGGTTCCAAAGTCCCTCTCCTTGCAGAGCAAGGACTACTCCTCGACGCCAGCTGGGGTATTCATCTGCACTCGTTAGTTCAACGATATGATCATATTTCCCCATATTAGAGAGTGACCAGGTTGATCGCGATAATTATGAAATGCAAGTATTTGAAGGGAGGGTGTGAAATCGAGTGTCTTCGTTTAATTCGGTGAGCTTATCGTAGACTTCGCGAATTCTGTGCTTGGCTAGAGCACAGGGCTCATAACCTATATGAAGTCTAGAGAAGACTCAGCGGGAGTTAATAGAACAACGCTATATTAATAAGTACCTAGAGAAGACTAGGTACATTACATGTCAATGAGTGTGTCAAGTACACGGTACAAGATACTCACCTCAGCAGGAGTTAATAGAACAATGCTGAGGTGGGAAAAAGGCGCGAGGCAAGTACATATGGGTCTATGGAGGATCTGTGGCTGAGTGGCGAAGGTGCTGTACAGTACATAGCAAGAGGAAAGAGAAGTATGGTTTCAAACTCGAAAAACGACGGTCGGGGTCACAAACGGTCCGATGCCCTCATCCACTTTCGATCAACGATTGGCACCACCATCGGATAACGAGCCGTCAGCTCGCGACGAGAGGACACACCCCATACACCCCCCTGGTTAGCCACCCTCAAGCACGCTTGATCCCGCGCCGAAAAACGACAGGATTTTGGGGGGAGGGACAAACAAAAACAAAGGTGCGTGCATGCCTAAAGCACCAAGGGCGAGGGATCGCACCAACTCATAGCCACAAGCAACAGATATGTCGCGGGCATCACAGACGCGAAGGAACAGCAAACTGTTTTACTCACTGATGGCATAGTGCTTTTGATTTTGCCATTTGGAAAGACAAAGGAATGGGGGAAGCTCTCAGCAAAAGGACAGTTAGCACTTAGGGGAGGAATGAACGAGAAGGACGCAAGGATGGGAGCCTGGCTGCTGAAGAATGAAGAAGGTTATATATGCAAGGTATTGCCCATGCCGTCACTTGCTCGCTGCCGCTAAACTTTGCATCTGTATTATTTCTTTCGAGCGCAGATCCTCCACCAGCAGGTGATCTGCCCCATCGCGAACTTCGGCCAATTCCAGCAGTGGTGTTGCTACCATGATACATCAAAGGTATGCCACTTCTATCTTGGCTGCCAGTGATCCCCATCTGACTCAAACAACTCAACGATCAGGCAGAGCGGCATGCTGTCACCTCACTTGTCACCCTCACTTGTTCTTGAAGCCCTCGGTGATATGAAGATCAACTGGAGGTGTCACGCTGGCTGTGAACATCTTTTTTTGCCCGAGAAACACCTGGTGGACTAACATCACTCCCTGCGACACTCAAGGGGAACAGTTGGACTATGGCCTGTCGGTTGGAAAAAAGACAGTCCCCCATGCTCACTAAGTCAGTTTCTTGGTTCTGAACAGCAGTTTTCTTAACTAATATTTCTATCCCTTCCCTTCCGCCCTTCATGGCCCTCAAGTTCTCGAACCAGACCACATGCCAGGCGAGTGGCTTTATTTCAAATTCGTCCTCAAGAGGGGTTTCACGGTGAGCTCTCCCTCTCACCTTCGAACCATCATGTCTACTACACTACCTGAATCTGTCCAACACTTTCCAGGTCTCTGGCCTCCTTCCATCTGTGTCAGCCAGCAGCCTTGAAATGGACGACATCGCGGAGGATGTCACTGCTGAGCAGGAGACTCTTGTTGAGTCAAAGTCAATGGATGGCATGATTGACTTCGCAAAGCTCCAATCCACGCTCATGGATGCGTCCAAGGGGCGTGACTGAAGGCACGGACTCAGAATACAAGAGGTTCGTGTTCGTTCTTTCTTTGGCCCTCGCAGTTTCTGATGGTGGATTACTGCTTATTTGGGCAGGCTAATGAATCAGGCAGTGGTGTTCCTCACTGGCGTGCACCTGCTGTGCAAGGACGAGGTTTTTTTTTTGCAAGAGACCACGTGCTGACACACCATGGCTGATTGTGGCCTGGATCATGAACTCGTGAGTGATACTGTCCGACTTGGAGATGTTGATGATGGTGATGGAGCTCATTGAAGGTGCGACTCGATCAACATTGATGGCACACAAAAAACCATCGAGCGAAGAGCGCAGCACGTATGGCCATGCACAAAAGATGTGTGCCTCTATGACATACGCATTTGGTAGGCTCCAGGGCCTTGGGAATATGTGGTGGCACAAGTCAGATGTTGGGGGTGGTATCATGGTTGGCAATCCCTCCATATCAACAGAAGTGTCCTCTTTCATGTGCTCGCTCCAACGTCACAAGGTGACCTTTTCTGACTCTCTGATTCTGACCAGCCCGAGTTACTCAACACCTGGGTAGGTCAAGGCTGGCGAAGTGGCAAATAGTGCCCATGCCATAACGACGGTGAGCAGTTTCTGACCTCCCAAGCCATCAATAACCATAGTTTAACTCTTTACAGGATATTCTACTCAAACTTTACCACCACAACCACCCTCGACGAAAACTGGGCTATTCATCCTTACCAGCCTGGCGAGCGTCTTAGCTCGCACCGCTGGGGTGGTGGCCGTGCTCGGAGGCTGTTGCAGGCCGCATATACCCTAGCGTTTGTGTGTATGCTGCGCTTTGATGAGGTCCTCAAGATCCAGGCCCATGACTTAGAGTGTTTGAGAAGGGGGTGACACTACACCTCCCTTTCTGCAAGACACATCAGAACGGAGGTGTGCGATATGGACATGCTGATGTTGATTTTTTTCGTGTCTAACTATCATCCAGATATCAAACCATTCCATCTGTGGGTCTTCCCACCGCACGAGGCCCACATCTGCCCTGTCAGGGCCCTCACAGCCTGGTTGGGCGAGTCAAGGATTGAGTCTGGGTATGTTTTTTCGGAAAATTGCCTCAGGTGATCGTGTAGTGGAGGCCAACACCCCAATGGTGAGTTCTGGTGATGCTCTGGTGGCCAGAAATGTTGCTGATGCACTTATAGGCCTCCGAACAATTCTTAGAGCTTTTCTGCAACAACCTGCTGGACATTGGCATCGATCCAGCCCCATATGGCACCCATTCGTTCTGACGAGGAGGCTGCCAGTACCTACATATTGAAAGGCGCTGGGCACTAAGGAAGATCTGTGAGTGGGGAGGCTGAAGTGCCGAATTTTCGAATTTGACCATAGTCAAATATCTCATCTCATTGAATGACGACCCTGTCGAGCCAAGGGAGCATTTCTTCAATCCTGATAGACCCCCCCACTGTCAAGTGCCCACACTGTGGGAGATGCTGCCCTTGTGGCTGATTTTTCTATGTTCCATTCTTGTCGTCTCTTCTTTTCCTCACTCTGTTTTGTTTCTGTTCCTCCCGTTTTTCCAGGGTCATATGAAAGTTCCTGTACACTCACACATAGACTCATTGTTTCCAAAGCAAATCCCAGCGAGCTCAGACTCTGGCCTAGATAGTATACAGTACTCCATGTATATCGCAGTAACTGTGCAATGTGCTCATTTAATCCTCCTCTTCTTTGACACCATCCAGGTCTCCTTTCACATCCTTGCCCTCCTTTGGGTCTTTGGACACCATCATCCTTCTCCGAGCCTTCAATCACCGTCACCCTCATTCTCCGAGTCTTCATCATCATCACCCTCGTGTCTTTTCAAAATCTCAGTTACCACCCACTCCTCCGATACATCTCGCATCATTTCAATGACGTCCATGCCTCACGCATAGTTTTCCAGCTGTCTGTATACCTTCTGGATGACCACCTTCAGTAAACCCATATTGCTCTGAGAGTAGTTTGATGGATGCTGCAAAGCCGAGACAGGCAAAATGGAGGATGTCAACAGTGTGAATGTCCAAGTCAACATCCAAGTTCTCAGGACTGCTGCTGCTCATCTCTCTGGTGTATTTGTTGAATGGTGTCGACATGGCAGCTAGTATGACTGCAGTAGTAGTGCCGTCAGTGCAGGCCTCTGTTGGAGATGAGATTTGAGCAGTACATACTGGTAGGCACCTTCAAGTTGTGAGTGGTTCTGAAGTGGTTCGAGTTCAAGTACTGGAAGGCCCCTAATGTAATCAACGCTGTTTGTTAAGCCCCTACTGGCCCTACTCACGGTGCACCATTCGATTTTCCAATTTTTGGACTTCTGCCACAAAACACGTCCATAGGTTGCACTACGAAATAAATTTTACATTGTGACTACTTAGTATAGTGCCTACAGTCAATCATGGACCTCCTTCAGGTTGCTAGCCATTAGTTCCTTGTATTTCTTCGCGATGTCCTGCATGATTTGGGAATGCATGGACATGACTAATAGGTATCCCCTAAAAGACAAGTGAAGAAGAAGTCCGAGCCAAATTCCTCGCGAGCACGCCCCATGAGGGCAAAGTTTGCATCCTTGTGCTCTTCATGGAGCTTGTGAACGATGGCAGTGAACTTCAAGGGCTCGCCATTGGCACCACTGAACTTGGCCCAGAATTGCTCTGGGGTGCCTTGTCGGTACAGCTCAACAATGTCCTGTGGAACAGAAGCAGGAGACGAATCAGGATAGTTGAGGTCAGCTATGGAGAAACTTGCACATACATGCCAGTCAGCTCACTTGTTTTTCGTGCCTTTCCACTGCTGATCATGGCTGTAGCGATAGAGCAAAGGCCAGTACTCAATTGCAATTGGGTGGCCCTGGATGTTGATGACAGACATGCCCTGCCAGTGCTCCGTGTGATCGTCCCACATCCCATTGGCCGCAATGTTTTTGACAAAGCTGATGGCAGGCGGGTCCGTGATTTCGCTGTCAGCCACTTGCAGCATTGTGCCATTCTCAAGCTTGAGAAGCCGCATCCTCTTGGTGCTCAGCTCAGTGGCCAGCGCAGGTTCCTCTGGTGTGCACACAGTAGAGGTGCCTGCATCCTGAGGCCCAGCAGGTAGCCCAGCTTGAACTGTGCTTGGCTGGAGGGGCCTTGGACAATGTCGACCAGCCCTTGTACCCACCACTCTGGATGATTGCATCTTCCAAGCTCGCATCAGCACCCACAGAATGCAAAGAACTGGTGCTCACAGGAGTGGAGTTGCCAATGTGAGAGCAGGGAAGGGTGCTCACAGCCAGGTGCAAGCTGTCCATCTGTCAGTGCATATGGGAATGCATGATGATGGCATTGGCCTGCCCATGCGGTGCATCAGTCTCTCGAAAAGGGGGCAGTATGCAAGTGGTACTTACCCAAGGCAACAGCCGCTGCAACTTCGGCTGTTGTGCAGGTGTCTTTGGAGGGGGTGACTGTGGTGATGTCAGAGGTTGCTTCACTGAGTAACTCAGTGCGACACTGAGTTGATTGCTTTACACGACGTGCCTTGGTCTTGCTTGCCAAACCTGTCCGTGGACCTTTGTGAGCTTTGCGGGCTCCAGACTTGAGGCTTGAAGACGAGGTGACTTGAGCATGCTGAAAAAAATGACTGGGAGAGGTGTGGTTTCACATACCTATCCCATGCATTTCAGTCGCGGCTGAAGCCTTCAAGACGCTCAAGAAGAACGGCCTTGGTGCCTGAGGAGGGGAGGTTGAGCTGAATGCACTGCTGCCTCATTGCTTTGACGTTCATAGTGTAGCTGCCACACCATTAGAGTCAGCTGAGGGCAAACAGGAGGGAAGGGGATTGAAACCTACACAGAAAGGTAGTGGATCTCCGGCTCGCCATCTGGTTTGAAGCGAAGTGGGAAAGGGAGTGACTGCTGGTCCGTGTTGATCGAGGCCCGGATTGCACTTGCTCCCGGATCAGTGGTGTGGGCCTCAGCAGACAGCTGCGGTGTTCCAGCATCGGACAAGACAGAGAGCTGAGCTCTCCGCTCAAACATGCGTGCATCAACACTGCAGAACAAACCATGATCAGTTGAGGAGTCTGTGGCAGCAGTGATGCCCCTGGTGGCTGCATGGCTGAGGACAGGAGTCATTGTGATGGTGGTGGAGTGGCAGTTCACGATGCTGGCATTGCAATGCTTGGTGTGGGTTGGAATAAAGCAAGGACACCAGCCACAGAATGAGTTGAGCGGGATTTTTGGCCTCCACCAGGGGTAGGTAATTACGAGACTGATGAAGATCAACGCAATTACCAGGGCGAATGCGCCACCAACACTAATGGAACTTTGCTGAGGAGCAGGGATGGCAGTGGCTGCGCCCGAATTGGACTCGTTGTTTGAGGATGATGCAAAGGTGTCTGTGATCGTTGGAAGGAGGAGGGCAGCAGAGTCTGGAAGCAGCGCGTCGTCAACAATGGTGGCATTGGAGATGAGCTTGCGCTCCGACGCAGCTGCGACCAGCGCTGAGATCTAGCAAAAGAGGGGCTTTGTTAAGACCGTACTCAAGTCATATCGGATCCGAAGGGCTTCGGCCTCAGCTTGTGCGCTGTGCGCTGTGCCCCTTTCCCGAGTCTTGCCCCTTATTTCAGAGTGCTAGAGTATCACATCTAGTGAGACGGATAAGTATCGTGACGGATCTGTTAAGTCTTCCGGATATCGAATGTATAGAGTAACAGCTAATCTGGATCGGATCCGAACTAGAAACTAACGGGTGAAGACTGTCCGAAGACAGAGACGGATATATAGACTATAGGAATCAATCCTAAGTCTTGGAGTAGACAAGAGTATCGTACTCAAGTCCGGACGGATAATGGAGGGACTCAGAGTCCAGACAGAATGAGTGCAATCTAAGATGATATTCGAACTGATCTACTACAGCGCATGTACAAGGGTTTATATACTACGGATAACTAACGGAATGATTGATAAGCAAAGGTGCGAGGCTATGTATGAAGTATAAGCAAAGTATGTGTACAGCATATTGGTAAGTCAGACAGATAACGTATCATAACCAGGAATGAAGTATAAGCTAAAGCGGATCAGTAAGTGTAGCAGATCAGTAAGCATAATGGAAGTAAAGGATAACCGGTATACCGGTGTACAAGAATGCCAAAAGGAGATGAACGATAGTTAGAGTTATATGAACAGGACATGAAATAAGGATTAGATCGGATCTGTGGACCGGACGACGGATATGTCCATCGGATCTGGATCAGATCTGAGATCCAGATCTTCAGATCTGTACCCGGGAATATGGTATATGACAGGCTTCATTAGTACTGGTCTCGAAACGGGAAACATATGCATAGAATCGGTTCCTGGGGGCCTCTGACCTGCAAGGAAAAGGGGGGGAAAGCACCGTCATCAGCAAAGTACTGATTTCGTGACAAAGTGTCACAACAATAACAAACATTTACAGAACTACACAAGCGTCACAAACAACACAAGCCAACAAGCAATTGACATTACAAATATCTACAGAGCGATACAAGCAGCACAAACAAACAAAGTAACAAAGTATGTACTAGTAGCGCTCGAGATAATATCATACTAGAAGTGTGAAAATAAAAATATCTTGATGTTGCCAGGATTGTTTGTGACAAAGATGTATGTCAAGAGGTGTCTGCAATCATCTCAATGGTGATAAGTTATAACGAAACCAACAAATGAGCACTTACCATTAAACCTGAGTCTGAGCGAGCGAATGCTGCAATACCACTCTTCTTGCGCTCCATGTGCATGTGTCCAACATTGAGATCCGCATTCAATAAATGGCAGTTTGCTACCTCCGCACGACAGCGCCACAGGTCGAGAAGTATAGATTGATGTTCCAGAATACAATCGGCAAGATGTTTCTCCGCCTCACATACTTTCCGTTTCGCCTTAGCTGCCTCCAGGGCGAGGTCAGAGTCACCTTCGGACTCAAATAAAGAGTAGTTTACATCCTACCAAAGACAGGTAAGAATAATAATGTACCACAGCGAATAATTGAGGCTTACAAGGTGAGTATCCATAGCAAAACGAGCCTCCCCTCCAATCAAGCTTGATGAGGTGTGCGGCGAAAAATTGGTCATTGGCTGGTGAGGTTTTTGAATGGATCTGAGGTAATTGGGAGATGTGTTAAAAAGAACAGTGTGACGCTGACTGTATTCAGAGAACGAAGATTGAGGAGAGGTTTCTGAGTCGAAGCTGTGAGAGTTCATGAATGATATATGAGTGATATGGATACTACTATGTGAGTGGCAAATATTATGATAGAGTACAACCAATAGCATTACACTGTGTGAATTCTTGAGTCTGAATCAGATGTCAACATGTCCAAAGTGCAGGAAAATGTTTACCAAGGAAAGCAGTGTTACTTGACATCTCAGCCAGCCCCGAATGTTGTGCCATAGCTACTTGCGTGACATAGTTGATATCTCTCAGTTTACGCAGGTGCAACCACCACGGCGCGATGGTTCACCTTCAGCTCCAGAACCTGACCCAGATACTCGCGTCGAGGATCAACAACAATCTAACAACTTTTGGAACATCGGCGATGACTTTGGTTCACTCGACAATGATTTTGGAGTGGCTGGGGAGTCTTTGGAGGAGAAGTATGAGGGTGCCGGGCTTGTTATTCGGAAAATGGGTCAACCTTTTTGGATGTATTTGATGCCGATGAATTTGCGGAGTACAGGAAGGACAATCTCTTCTACCCTTTTGCGTCCAAGGAGGAATGGAAGTTGCTGACTATCTCCTTCGCTCATCCCTGAGTATGGCAGCAATTGATGAATTCTTGAAGCTTCACATGGTATGGATTTGTACTCTGACAGTGATTATTATAATATAACTTATCTGTCAGATCCAAAATTTACAACTATCATTCAGCAACGCTAGTGAATTGTGTAGTCGTGCCGAGATGCTCCCCAGCGGACCAAGCTGGAAATGCCAGACCATTCCCTCACTTCATCCTACAAAACTTCCTATCCGCTTATTCTGGCGAGATCCTATTGAATGCCTGGAAAGCCTTTTCAGCAATCCTCTGTTTCATGATAAGCTCAATTTCGTCCCTCGTCACATGTACAAAATGGCAGCGCGGCTTCTGAGGGTATATTCTGAATGGTTGACAGGTAATTCTGCATGGGACGTGCAGGTATGTGCAGGTTCAGTCTACTCATTTTGCACTGTCTTGAGCCCCTTCAGTGACAAATCCCGTATTATACAGGTCACCCGACCTACATAATATCCCGTGTAATACGGGCCAGCGGATTATGGGCCGATGTTATGTATATACCCGATGTTGACGGGTGGGCTGGGAGGAATATTATTTCCGATGGAGACGGGTGGGCCCATCTATGCTGATGTTATATATATCATCGATGATAGCGGATGGGCTGGGAGAAATATTATTATGGAGATGGGTGGGCCCATGTGGGTAATATGTAGAGTAGGATTGACATATATTATAGACCTGAGGAGAGATGTATAGCAAATAGTATTATATAGACGGGTGGGCCGACGTATCAGTATTATTTTGTAGACGGATGGGCTGAGGGAGCGGTGAAATATTTATTAGATAGACGGGTGGGCCAACGTAGGGAAATATTAGATAGATGGGTGAGCCAAGGGTGGGGTGAATTATTTATTACATAGACAGGGTGGGCTGATGTGGGGTAATATTAGATAGATGGGTGGGCCGAGGGTGAAGTGAATTATTTATTACATAGACAGGTGGGCCAACGTGGGGTAATATTAGATAGATGGGTGGGCTGAGGGTGAGGTGAATTATTTATTACATAGACGGGTGGGCTGACGTGGGGTCATATTAGATAGACGGGTGGGCTGAAGTGCAGAATTTTACATAGACGGGTGGGCCGACATCGGGTAATATCAAGTACCAAGTACTAAAACCCAAAACCCAAAACCCAAAACCCAAAACCTGAAACCTGAAACCTGAAACCTGAAACCTGAAACCTGAAACCTGAAACCTGAAACCTGAAACCCGAGCCCTGAACACCCAGACTTGGGACTCAAGAGACTCAAAACTCAAAATTCAAAACTCAACTGGAAACTCATACATTGTTACGAGTTAAGAAAATTCAAATTTAAGATGATATACATTTTTGTCATCTGGAAATACCGAGTACCGAGACCTGATACCCAAGACCCGAGATTCGGCACTCGGTAGTCAGTGAAATGAGTACAGAAATACATAAGATACTACACATTAGTTTCAAATTTTGACTTGTGAATCACCAGTCTCAAGTCTCGAGACTCGAATCACCGAGTACTGACTACCAAGTACCAAGTACCGAGTGCTGAGTGCCAAGTGCCAAGTGCCTTCCGAGTGCTGAGTGTCCTGATGCTTTCAAGCATTACCACCCAGATAGCCCTTGCTCTCAGGGGTCCATCAGAATTTAGATTATCTCAAACAGATGTGATTTGAGTGAGATATGAGCAAAATACTATATATCAGGTGAATTTCAGCATTGGAAGTTCAATGCTTTCAATGATTTTGATGTCGGGCCTCAATGCTTTCAGGCATTGATATGCAGATAGCCTTCACTCTCCAGGGTCCTTCAGAATTCGGATCGTATTTCAGCATCAGGAGTTTGATGCTTTCAATGATTTCAATGTGAGGCCTAGATGACTGTGTTCATTGACATGTGGATAGCCCTCAATGTCAGGAGTGTCGCAGAATTCATATGGCCTCACATGGACATATGAGGTAATGTAGGACATTCTCAACACATCAGGAGACACATAAAAACACATCATAAGGCACTACATCATGTCTTCAATAGTTATACCTATGTGTAGTATGATAGTGTGATCTTTAATATGCTGTTCAGGCTGACACTCATCAAGTATCACAGGTCTATTGTACAGACTTAGAATAAAATACAATAGTCTTAACTTGATAGTCATTACACGATAGTCTTCACTTGATAGTCTAATATGATTGTTGATTACTACATAATACATAAGCTGTGAGGGTTAGGATTATTATGGAAGATATGACAGTCATGGTTATTAAGAAAGCTTATATTATGCCTAGCAAGTTAAGACTATTGAGTTAAGACAATCATATCCTTAGTCTAGTAAGCATTGTCAAAGCTTGTGACCTTCTGGTAACCGTGTGGCAAAATCATATTTTGCTGATGTATATATCTTGTGATTGTAACTTTCTTGCACCAGTGCACAGTGATTGCCTTGAATTTCGAGTTTTTTTGTATTTAGAGATACATACCACTGACAGATACTGGTTCAGGGACTGGAACAGTACATTGGAAGCCAATCTATCATATTATACATAGGTGTGATCATAGCAAACCTGATGCAGTCCCTGATGATGTGTTTTTATGTTTCTCCTGATGTTTTAGAATTTTTCCCACACAAGGCTGACAACAAAGACATTGAACCTGCGAAGCTCAGACACACCCAATAAATTGTATTTTGCTCATATCTCCCTCAAATCATGTCTGTTTGAGGCAAAATATGATCCCCAACATCCCTTCAATAGTATATGCAATATATAAGGATACTAGGACAACAGGATTTATTCCTGTTGTGCTATGTGCTTACCCTTGGTGCAAGGCCTGACATCAAAAATCACCTGATATATAATATTTTGCTCATATCTCACTCAAGTCTTATCCGTGTGAGACGATCTGAATTGTGACAGGCCCCTGAGATCAAGTTCTATCTGCTTGTGAATGCCTGAATGCATTGAGGCTAGACATTGCAAACATGGAAAGCATTGACCTTACAATGCTGAAATACACACAGTATATGGGATTTTGCTCATATCTCACTCAACTCTTATCCATTTGGGATGGGCTAAATTCTGCCAGACCCGTGAGATCTAGGGCTATCTGCATGTCAATGCCTGAAGGCATCGAGGCTTGATATCAATAACATCAAAAGCATCAAACTTCTGATGGTGAAATTCACTTGGTATATAGTATTTTGCTCATATCTCACTCAAATCACATCCGTTTAAGATGATCTAAATTCTGACGGGCCCCTGAGAGCGTGGGCTATCTGGGTGTTAATACCCGAAAGCATCGGGGCACTCGGCACTCGGAACTCGGCACTTGGCACTTGGAAATCGGAACTCAAAACTCGGCACTCAGCACTCGGTAGTCAGTATATACATAGTATGGTGCAAATATCTCACTCAAATTATATCCGTTTGAGACAACGTGAATTCTGCCACACCCCTGAGATCGAGGGCTATCTACATGTCAATGCCTGAAAGCATCGAGACCCGACATCAAAAACATCGAAAGCATCGAACTTCTGATGCCAACATTCACCCGGTATATAGTATTCTGTTCATATCTCACTCAAATCACATCCGTTTGAGATGATCTAAATTCTGACGGGCCCCTGAGAGCGAGGGCTATCTGGGTGTTAATACTCGAAAGCATCGGTGAGCTCGGCACTCGGAACTTGGCACTCGGCACTTGGAACTTGGAACTTGGAACTTGGAACTTGGAACTTGGAACTTGGAACTTGGAACTCGGCACTTGGCAGTCAGTATATAGTATTTTGCAAATATCTCACTCAAATTATATCCATTTGAGACAATGTGAATTCTGCCACACCCCTGAGATCGAGGGCTATCTACATGTTAATGCCCAAAAGCATCGAGACCCGACATCAGAAACATCGAAAGCATCAAATTTCCAATGCTGAAATTCACCCGGTATATAGTATTTTGTTCATATCTCACTCAAATCACATCCGTTTTAGATGATCTAAATTCTGACAGGCCCCTGAGAGCGAGGGCTATCTGGGTGTTAATGCCCGAAAGCATCGGGGCACTCGGCACTCGGAACTCGGCACTCGGCACTCGGCACTCGGCACTCGGAACTTGGTTCTCGGCACTTGGCACTTGGTACTCAGCACTTGGTAGTCAGTGTGTGGTATTTTGCATATATCTCACTCAAATTATATCTGTTTCAGACAATCTAAATTTGCCACACCCCTGAGATCGAGGGCTATCTACATGTTAATGCCCGAAACCATCAAGACCCGACATCAAAAACATCGAAAGCATCAAACTTCCAATGCTGAAATTCACCCGATATGTAGTATTTTGCTCATATCTCACTCAAATCACATCTGTTTGAGATGATCTAAATTCTGACGGGCCTCTGAGAGCAAGGGCTATCTGGGCGTTGATACCCGAAAGCATCGGGGCACTCGGCACTCG